TGTGTGTTGGTGAGTGACATGGTCCACCCTGCAGTGCACTGTGTGTGTGTGTTGGTGGGTGACATGGTCCACACTGAGTGCACTGTGTGTGTGTTGGTGAGTGACATGGTCCACCCTGCAGTGTCCTGTGTGTGTGTTGGTGAGTGACATGGTCCATCCTGCAGTGCACTGTGTGTGTGTGTTGGTGGGTGACATGGTCCATCCTGCAGTGCACTGTGTGTGTGTTGGTGAGTGACATGGTCCACACTGCAGTGCACTGTGTGTGTGTTGGTGGGTGACATGGTCCACACTGCAGTGCACTGTGTGTGTGTTGGTGAGTGACATGGTCCATCCTGCAGTGCACTGTGTGTGTGTGTTGGTGAGTGACATGGTCCACTCTGAGTGCACTGTGTGTGTGTGTTGGTGAGTGACATGGTCCATCCTGCAGTGCACTGTGTGTGTGTGTTGGTGGGTGACATGGTCCATCCTGCAGTGCACTGTGTGTGTGTTGGTGAGTGACATGGTCCATCCTGCAGTGCACTGTGTGTGTGTGTTGGTGAGTGACATGGTCCACACTGCAGTGCACTGTGTGTGTGTTGGTGAGTGACATGGTCCATCCTGCAGTGCACTGTGTGTGTGTGTTGGTGAGTGACATGGTCCACCCTGAGCGCACTGTGTGTGTGTTGGTGAGTGACATGGTCCACACTGCAGTGCACTGTGTGTGTGTTGGTGAGTGACATGGTCCATCCTGCAGTGCACTGTGTGTGTGTTGGTGAGTGACATGGTCCACCCTGCAGTGTCCTGTGTGTGTGTTGGTGAGTGACATGGTCCATCCTGCAGTGCACTGTGTGTGTGTGTTGGTGGGTGACATGGTCCATCCTGCAGTGCACTGTGTGTGTGTTGGTGAGTGACATGGTCCACACTGCAGTGCACTGTGTGTGTGTTGGTGGGTGACATGGTCCACACTGCAGTGCACTGTGTGTGTGTGTTGGTGAGTGACATGGTCCACCCTGAGTGCACTGTGTGTGTGTGTTGGTGAGTGACATGGTCCACACTGCAGTGCACTGTGTGTGTGTGTTGGTGAGTGACATGGTCCACACTGCAGTGCACTGTGTGTGTGTGTGTTAGTGAGTGACATGGTCCACCCTGCCAGTCCACTGTGTGTGTGTGTTGGTGAGTGACATGGTCCACCCTGCAGTGCCCTGTGTGTGTGATGGTGAGTGACATGGTCCACCCTGCAGTGCACTGTGTGTGAGTGGAGAGCGGCGTCCGGCTGAATAGAGGGGGCTAAACGGGCGCGGCACGGCCTCGAGTAGAGATGGAGCTGATGGGGCACAGGAGGATGTGAAGCTGAGTGTACTTGCCGATGACCGGTACCAGGGGTGTGAAGACGGGCCTCGATGGAGGAGGAGGAGGCTCGTGAAGGACGCTGCTAATCAGTTGGAGGCAGTCGCCCTCCAATAACAACGGGGACAGAAGAGCGACACTCCAATAACGAGCGGAGCGCTAAAACACAGCAAGTTGGCATAGTAGGGGGCACAGGTGGTGCATCAGCCAGTCATCTCAGTCAGTCAACCCATGGCATCTGGGTCTGTCCCGTGACCTCCAGCCAGCGAGACTTCCACACTTTACGTGATGGCCTCAAGGTGCGCCTAGCCTGGCACGAGCGCCGTGGTGACGTCACCGCCACTTCGTGGCGAAGGGCGGCTGCTCAGAGTGTCTGAAGAGCGGTGGCACGGTGGTTAGAACCAGATGACCCGAGTTCGATTCATGCTCATGGCCAACACCAGTGGCGAATATCTGATCCGCTCCTTGGCCTCGACTCAGCCTCAAATGAGTAGCTGGTGCGGTGTGTAGTAAACATCGCTAGCACTGGGGAGAAAAAGGCGTTCGGGCGTGGTTCTGGTCACCTACCCCCTCTAGCAAACATAACTTGCCCCAACAGTCTGTTGAGGCAAAAATGGGGCCCATAGATACTCAATAATTGGCCGCTATTGAGTGACTATATTTAGAGGATGGCAGAGCTTTGGTGGGGTGCAATTTGGCGCCGGCTCCTCGTCACCGCGTGGCTGCTGCTGCTGCTGCCGCCCGTCCGTGATTCCTCCTCCCCATGGCGCCTCTGAGTCGTCCACCCCCCCCCCCCTCCTCTCTACGAGGACGACGCGGAGGGACGGTGGCGCGGTGCTGCGAGTCGACATCGCGACGACTGTCGTGACGGACCGCGTTGGAGCAACTCGTTGGAGCAACTCGTTGGAGCAACTCGTCTGCACTCGTGCGTGGTTGTGAACTCGCCGCCTTGGTGCACGCGTCCACGAGCCCTCACCTCCACTCCAACAAACAACAACATCAACAACAACATCAACATCAACAACAACATCAACAACAACATCAACAACAACATCAACAACAACAACACGCACCCTGAGTCGCCGGCGCGCAGCCGAGTGTGGCCTTTGGTAGCAATGGAAATTCGCACACAAAACCAAAACAACGAGAGAGAAGGAGGGGGGAGAGAATGTTGAAGCACGAGGCGAGGAGGGGGTTGGGTGACGGCGGGGGGGGGAGTCGAACCCGGCCACGAGGGCCTCTGGAGCGCCCGCTGGGCCGCATCGCGACCACGCCCGGGCGGGGCCGCCCCGCTCCACCGCCTCCTCAAGCGGCCGCGCCGTGGCCCGCCCAGACCTGCCTGAGCGTCCGCCTGTCTCTCTGCCTGTCCGCCTGTCTCTCTGCCTGTCTCTCTGCCTGTCCGCCTGTCTCTCTGCCTGTCTCTCTGCCTGTCCGCCTGTCTCTCTGCCTGTCTCTCTGCCTGTCCGCCTGTCTCTCTGCCTGTCTCTCTGCCTGTCCGCCTGTCTCTCTGCATGTCTCTCTGCCTGTCCGCCTGTCTCTCTGCCTGTCTCTCTGCCTGTCCGCCTGTCTCTCTGCCTGTCTCTCTGCCTGTCCACCTGTCTCTCTGCCTGTCTCTCTGCCTGTCCGCCTGTCTCTCTGTCTGTCTCTCTATCTGTCTCTCGGTCTGTCTCTCTGCCTGTCTCTCTGCCTGTCCGCCTGTCTTTCTATCTGTCTCTCGGTCTGCTTGTCCGTCTGTATCTCTGTGTCCGTCTGTCTCTCTCTCTGCCTGTCTCTCTCTGCCTGCCTGTCCGCCTGTCTCTCTGTCTGTCTGTCTGTCTGCCTGCCTGTCTCTCTACCTGCCTGTCTCTCTCTCTGCCTGCCTGCCCGCCTGTCTCTCTGTCCGTCTGTCTCTCTCTGCCTACCTGTCCGCCTGTCTGTCTGCCTGCCTGTCTCTCTACCTGCCTGTCTGCCTATCTCCCTGTCAGTCTGCCTGTCTCTCTACCTGCCTGTCCGCCTGTCTCTCTCTGTCTGTCTGCCTGCCTGTCTCTCTGCCTGCCTGTCCACCACGTGACTTTTCTTTCGTGTCGTGCGCGGTGCTTTTAGCGCCACAGCGCGTGGATTTGAAGCGTTTATTTTCATTTGTTTGCTGGTGACTTTGTGTATTTCATATCGAAATCGCCTCCAGTGCTTTTGCTGCTGGCGGCAATAAAAGTTGTTTAAAAGTCAAAAGTCTGTCTGCTGCCAGTCTTTTCTCATGGTCTGTCTCTATTTCTCTGCTTCTATTACAGTCTGTGCGCCCCATCTCTCTGCGCACTTGCCATTCCGAACTCTCACAGTAAGCAGCGCATCAGGGAATGGCCCGCGGAAGCTGATGTCACAGAGCTACTGCCAACACCGCGTCAATTGACGGATGTTTTTTGTATCCGCACACTCGGGGGGGGGGTGGAAGAGGGGCTGTATGTTTCGACCCACCTTTTTTATGCGTTCTGAAGAAGGCCCATTGCCCAAAACGTCGCCTATTAAATATTTGTTCCCATTTACGGCCATACACACGCACAGTGTTAGTGACGAACGAGCTGAGTTGATTTACCATACAGGAGTGCTCGCCACACGATTGCCGGAGTAGGAAGTCATTTATCCAACTTAGGTGGACAAGGTTAACCTTTGAGCACAGTGGGTTTATTTTTTGTGTGCGTATGTGTGGAGCCACTGGTGACCCTGGGGAGCGGTGGTGCAGCGGTTAGCACGCTGCGCTACGAACCCAGCGAACCGAGTTCCATTTACACTCATGGCCAACACCAGTTACAATTATCTAAATTGGTTCTGGGCCTCGCCTAGGTCGACTCATTCTAAAATGAGTACCTAGTGCGGTGTGTAAACCTCGCCACTAGGGAGACAAATGGTGCTGGCCACCCACCCTCTCCTGTGCCATAGCGGCCTTAATAGGTGCACGCTAACAGCACTTGTCCCTACAGTCTGTTAAGGCTATACTGGGGATCTTTGTCTTTTACCACCGGTGACCGAACTGCGACCATCAACGCAACAGGCCCGAGCACCCTGCCGCTCAGCGGTATCCAGCACAGTGATGGATGTGTGGCTTCGTTATACCCGTGAATGGAAATGAAAAGCCTCGCTTTTGTCAATCATCGGCCAAATATGTTTATTACCACTTGAGATAATTATACTAATTGGACGCTGTCAAGTGGGCTAATTTAATTATAGTGTGTATCGTATGTTTGTTTACCGCTTCATTTGCAGAAGTCAGCCTCGCTTGAAGCAATGTATGCGTGTTGAACTTCTTTCGCACCGTACCTAGCCAACCGTGCTAATGGGAGGTGCGAAGTGATAGATGTTTGATGAAGTGACGGATATTTGTTTTTAGGCAAGCACCGGATTTTACATTTAGCATCTCATCAGTGGGTGCAGCAGATCGTTGTCACTTGTCCGAAAATGTCCATTACCCCCCAACCCAGTTCCCGAGCAAATGCTCCAAACGTCGAGTGGTAAGTAACAAACAGCACGTGCTTGTACAGGAACAGAGTATTTCACTGGGGAGGGGTGGTGGGGTGAGGCGATATTCAATGCCCCCTCCTCCCCCGAGTGGTGGATTCATGGGCGGGGGGGGGGGGGTCTGTGGTGTGGGGGGGGGGGTTGCCCCCACCCCTCACAGGCCCCCTAGAGCCGCCCACGGCAGCCAGCGACTCAGAGCGGAGTGCCGCGCTGAGAGTGCACGCGGCGGCGGCTGAGAAGAGCCATCGACGGGTTTGGGTGTGAAGTGACCGCTTGTCGGGCAGCTATCGGAACAAATCACGCGTGTGCAGAGGAGGGGGGGGTAAGGAGGGCTTCGCGTGGAGAGGGTTGGTATAACGCGTCGCCTCACCCACACGAGTCGCCCACTCCGCCACTGCGCTCTCCCCTCGCTCTTCCCTCGCTCTCTCGTCTGCTCCTCGCCTCGCTCATCTCATCCCATCCATCCAGCCTCCCGCTCATCGCGACCCCATGAAGGAGTTTAAACAGAAGCTCAACTGGGTGTTCAAAGGCAGGTGAGTGAGTGAGTGGTTGAGTGAGCGCGCGCCCGGGTGAGTGTTAGGTGCGGGTGAGTGTTAGGTGCGGGTGAGTGTTAGGTAGGGTGAGTGTTAGATAGGGGTGAGTGTTAGATAGGGTGAGTGTTAGATAGGGTGAGTGTTAGGTAGGGTGAGTGTTAGATAGGGGTGAGTGTTAAGTACGGGTGAGTTTATCGGAGGGTGAGGATAATGCAGGCGTGGTGATGATGATTTTGATGTAATGGTGATGACAATGATTTTGGTGATGGTTGTGCTGATAATGTTGCAGATTGAGATGATGTTAATGGTAATGCATTGATGATGTGCCCGTGGTGGTGGTGGTGATAGTTAAATCTGTCGTGATGATGGTGACGATGATGATGTTGATGATGGTGGTCGTGGTGGTAATTGTGTTTGGTGATTATGATGGTGGCGATGGTGGTGGTGATGATGGGGTTGGTTGTGTTCGTGTTGATAGTTGTGGTGATGACTTTAATCGTTGCTATAACGACGGTGTTGATGGTATTGACGTTGATTGTGAATGGGATGATAGTTGATGAGCTAATTATGGTGACGATTATCGCGTTGATGTTGATGATAGTGATGGTGATGATGATGTTGCTAATGTTGATGATGATGACGATGGTGACAATGATGGTGCTGCTAGTGTTTGTGGTGTTGACGAAGGGGCTGGTGTTGGTGATGTTGATGGTGTTGGTCGTTTCGATGATGTTGATGATGGTGGTGATAATGGTGGTAATGATGTTGGTGCTGGTGTTGATGATTTTTCTGGTGTTGATGTTGATGATGGTGGTGTTGATGTTGTCGATGTTCATGATGGTGGTGTTGATGATGATGGTGGTGATGATGATGGTGGTGTTGATTATGATTGTGGTGTTGATGATGATGGTGGTGTTGATGATGATGATGATGGTGGTGTTGATGATGATGATAATGATGGTGTCGATGATGATGATGATGATGGTGGTGGTGGTGTTGATGATGATAATGATGGTGTTGATGATGGTGTTGATAATGATAGTGGTGTTGATGATGATGATGATGATGGTGGTGGTGTTAATGATGATAATGATGGTGTTGATGATGGTGGTGTTGATGGTGATGGTGGTGTTGATAATTATAGTCGTGTTGATGATGATAGTGGTGGTGGTGTTAATGATGATGATGGTGGTGTTGATGATGATGGTGGTGTTGATGATGATGATGATGGTGGTGTTGATGATGGTGGTGTTGATGATGATGATGGTGGTGTTGTTGATGATGGTGGTGTTGATGATGATGATGGTGTTGATGATGATGATGGTGGTGTTGATGATGATGGTGGTGGTGTTAATGATGATGATGATGGTGGTGTTGATGATGATGATGATGGTGGTGTTAATGATGATGGTGTTAATGATGATGATGGTGGTGTTGATGATGATGGTGGTGTTAATGATGATGGTGTTAATGATGATGATGGTGGTGTTGATGATGATGGTGATGTTGATGATGGTGGTGTTGATGATGATGATGGTGGTGTTGTTGATGATGGTGGTGTTGATGATGATGATGATAGTGGTGTTGATGATGATGGTGATGTTGATGATGATGATGATAGTGGTGTTGATGATGATGGTGATGTTGATGATGATGGTGGTGTTGATGATGATGATGGTGGTGTTGATGATGATGGTGGTGTTGATGATGATGGTGGTGCAGGATGATGGTGGTGTTGATGATGATGGTGGTGTTGATGATGATGGTGGTGTTGATGATGATGGTGGTGTTGATGATGATGGTGGTGTTGATGATGATGATGGTGGTGTTGATGATGATGGTGGTGTTGATGATGATGGTGGTGTTGATGATGATGGTGGTGTTGATGATGATGATGGTGGTGTTGATGATGATGGTGGTGTTGATGATGATGGTGGTGTTGATGATGATGGTGGTGTTGATGATGATGGTGGTGTTGATGATGATGGTGGTGTTGATGATGATGGTGGTGTTGATGATGATGGTGGTGTTGATGATGATGGTGGTGTTGATGATGATGGTGGTGTTGATGATGATGATGGTGGTGTTGATGATGATGGTGGTGTTGATGATGATGGTGGTGTTGATGATGATGGTGGTGTTGATGATGATGGTGGTGTTGATGATGATGGTGGTGTTGATGATGATGGTGGTGTTGATGATAATGGTGGTGTTGATGATGATGGTGGCGTTGATGATGATGGTGGTGTTGATGATGATGGTGGTGTTGATGATGATGGTGGTGTTGATGATGATGGTGGTGTTGATGATGATGATGGTGGTGTTGATGATGATGGTGGTGTTGATGATGATGGTGGTGTTGATGATGATGGTGGTGTTGATGATGATGGTGGTGTTGATGATGATGGTGGTGTTGATGATGATGATGGTGGTGTTGATGATGATGATGATGGTGGTGTTGATGATGATGGTGGTGTTGATGATGATGGTGGTGTTGATGATGATGATGATAGTGGTGTTGATGATGATGGTGATGTTGATGATGATGGTGGTGTTGATGATGATGGTGGTGTTGATGATGATGGTGGTGTGGATGATGATGGTGGTGTTGATGATGATGGTGGTGTTGATGATGATGGTGGTGTTGATGATGATGGTGGTGTTGATGATGATGATGGTGTTGATGATGATGGTGGTGTTGATGATGATGGTGGTGTTGATGATGATGGTGGTGTTGATGATGATGATGATGGTGTTGATGATGATGGTGGTGTTGATGATGATGATGGTGGTGTTGATGATGATGATGGTGGTGTTGATGATGATGGTGGTGTTGATGATGATGGTGGTGTTGATGATGATGATGGTGGTGTTGATGATGATGATGATGGTGGTGTTGATGATGATGGTGGTGTTGATGATGATGGTGGTGTTGATGATGATAGTGGTGTTGATGATGATGGTGATGTTGATGATGATGGTGGTGTTGATGATGATGGTGGTGTTGATGATGATGGTGGTGTTGATGATGATGGTGGTGTTGATGATGATGGTGGTGTTGATGATGATGGTGGTGTTGATGATGATGGTGGTGTTGATGATGATGGTAGTGTTGATGATGATGATGATGATGGTGTTGATGATGGTGGTGTTGATGATGATGGTGGTGTTGATGATGATGGTGGTGTTGATGATGATGATGATGGTGGTGTTGATGATGATGATGGTGGTGTTGATGATGATGGTGGTGTTGATGATGATGGTGGTGTTGATGATGATGGTGGTGTTGATGATGACGGTGGTGTTGATGATGATGGTGGTGATGATGATGGTGGTGCAGGATGATCGCCCCCGCGCGGGGCCGCGTGCCACAGCCCCCCGCACGCAGCGTCCTCGTGTTCCGCAACGGGGACCCCCACTTCCCGGGGCGCCGCTTCGTGCTCAACGAGCGGCAGGCGGCCACATTCGAGGCCTTCCTCGCGCAGGTTCAGAACCCCACTCCCCCCCAGACTCATCCAGCAGTGGATCAAGCATGCGCCACTCCCCCCCTCCCACCACCACTCACCCCATCCCCACCCCCCCCCCCCAGACTCATCCAGCAGTGCAGCCAGCACGCCCCCCACCACACACCCCACCTCAGCACTTGCCCCAACAGTCTGTGGAGGCTGTATGGGGGATCTTTGTCGTGTGGTTGATGCGAGCTGCCCCCCGGCCTGCCTGCCCCTCCCCCTGCAGGTGACGCGGGGTCTGCAGGCCCCCTACGGCGCCGTGCGGCGTCTCTACACCCCAGCCGAGGGGCACCGGGTTCGCTCCCTGGACGCGCTGCGCCCGGGGGCTGCGTACGTGGCTGCGGGCAGCGAGACGTTCAAGAAGATCGAGTGCGTGTGTCAGTGTGGGTGTGTCAGTGTGTGTGTGTGTCAGTGTGTGTGTGTCAGTGTGTGTGTGTCAGTGTGTGTGTGTCAGTGTGTGTGTGTGTCAGTGTGTGTGTCAGTGTGTGAGTGTATCGGTGTGTGTGTGTATCAGTGTGTGTATTGTGTGTGTCAGTGTGTGTGTGTCAGTGTGTGTGTGTGTGTGTCAGTGTGTGTGTGTCAGTGTGTGTGTCAGTGTGTGAGTGTATCGGTGTGTGTGTGTTAGTGTGTGTGTGTGTCAGTGTGTGTGTATTGTGTGTGTCAGTGTGTGTGTCAGTGTGTGTGTATGTGTCAGTGTGTGTGTGTCAGTGTGTGTGTCAGTGTGTGAGTGTATCAGTGTGTGTGTGTGTGTCAGTGTGTGTGTGTGTGTATTGTGTGTGTCAGTGTGTGTGTGTCAGTGTGTGTGTCAGTGTGTGTGTGTGTCATTGTGTGTGTGTCAGTGTGTGAGTGTATCAGTGTGTGTGTGTCAGTGTGTGTGTGTGTGTATCAGTGTGTGTATTGTGTGTGTCAGTGTGTGTGTGTGTGTCAGTGTGTGTGTATTGTGTGTGTCAGTGTGTGTGTGTCAGTGTGTGTGTTAGTGTGTGAGTGTATCAGTGTGTGTGTGTGTGTCAGTGTGTGTGTGTCAGTGTGTGTGACATTGTGTGTGTCAGTGTGGGAGTGTATCAATGTGTGTGTCAGTGTGTGTGTATTATGTGTGTCAGTGTGGGAGTGTGTCAGTGTGTGTGTCAGTGTGTGAGTGTATTGGTGTGTGTGTGTATGTGTGTGTGGGGAGTGATAGTGTAGTAGTAAGCGCGCTGCGCTATGAACCTGGCGACTCGGGTTCGATTCCCGCTCACGGCCAACACCAGTGACGATTATCTGAACCGGTCCCGGGCCTCCCCTAGGTCGACTCAGCCTCAAATGAGTACCTGGTGCGGTGTGTAAATATTGCCACTAGGGAGACAAAGGCGGTCGGTCGTGGTGCTGGCCACCCACCCCCTCGTGTACCGATCCGGCCTTCATAGGTGCTCGCTAACAGCACTTGCCCCTACAGTCTGTTAAGGCTATACGGGGGATCTTTGTCTTTTTTGTCTGTGTGTGTCAGTGTGTGAGTGTATCAGTGTGTGTGTCGGTGTGTGTGAGTGTGTGTGTCAGTGTGTGTGTCTGCGTGTCAGTGTGAGTGTATGTGTCTGTGCCTGTCTTGTGTGAGTGTGTATCTGAGTACCTGGTGCGGTGTGTAGTAAACATCGCCACTGAGGAGACAAAGACGGCCGGGCGTGGTGCTGGCCACCCACCCCGTCGTGTATCGTGCCGGCCTTCTTAGGTGCTCGCTAACAGCACTTGTCCCAACAGTCTGCTCAGGTTATATGGGGGACTTTTGTATTTTGTCACTGGTGACCGCGCTGTGACCATCAAGACAACAGGCCCGAGCACCCGGTGTGTCTGTGTCGCTCTGTGTTTGTCCGTCAGCTGCACTTTAACAGACGATATATCTTTCCCCTTATCCCTCTCCCTTTGTCTCTCTCACCGTGCCTCTCTACCCATGTCTCTCTCCCCGTGTTCTTCTCCCCGTGTCTCTATCCCCGTGTCTCTCTCCCCGTGTCTCTCTCCCCGTGTCTCTCTCCCCGTGTCCCTCTCCCCATATTCCTCTCCCCGTGTCTCTATTCCCGTGTCTCTCTCCCCGTGTCTCTCTCCCCATGCCTGCCTCTCTCCCAATATTCCTCTCCCCGTGTCTCTATCCCCGTGCCTCCCTCCCCGTGTCTCTCTCCCGTGTCTCTCTCCCAATATTCCTCTCCCCGTGTCTCTATCCCCGTGTCTCTCTCCCCGTGCCTCCCTCCCCGTGTTTCTCTCCCCGTGTCTCTCTCCCAATATTCCTCTCCCCGTGTCTCTATCTCCGTGTCTCTCTCCCCGTGTCTCTCTCCCCGTGTCTCTCTCCCCATGCCTGCCTCTCTCCCCGTGTCTCTCTCCCCGTGTCTCTCTCCCCGTGTCTCTCTCCCAATATTCCTCTCCCCGTGTCTCTATCCCCGTGTCTCTCTCCCCGTGCCTCCCTCCCCGTGTCTCTCTCCCCGTGTCTCTCTCCCAATATTCCTCTCCCCGTGTCTCTATCCCCGTGTCTCTCTCCCCGTGTCTCTCTCCCCGTGTCTCTCTCCCCATGCCTGCCTCTCTCCCCGTGTCTCTCTCCCCGTGTCTCTCTCCCCGTGTCTCTCTCCCAATATTCCTCTCCCCGTGTCTCTATCCCCGTGTCTCTCTCCCCGTGTCTCTCTCCCCGTGTCTCTCTCCCCGTGTCTCTCTCCCCGTGTCTCCCTCCCCGTGTCTCTCTCCCCACAGTTACTCCCAGATCGTCCCTACAAAAAGGGAGCGATCCCTGCACAGAGACGCAGTGCAGGTGAGAGGCGGAGTGGGGGTAGCGGTGTCGGCCCTAAAGCGGGGGGCAGGGGGGGGACACCGCTCCCAAACAGCAGCAGTGTAAACAACGCGTATCATTATCGTCCCATTATAGATGACTTACCATCATCATCATCAACCACCACCATCACCTTCCACTCGCGAAGCGGCACAGACGTCTCAGACGCCTCCCCACCACCCGCCACTTCACCTGGACGCGACTGCCTTCGGTCGGGGTCACAGAGAGCCGGGGTAGCGGTTCACGCTGCGCTGTTCCGACCCGCTCACGGTCACCAACACCAGTGACGATCATCTGAACCGGTCCTGGCCTTCTGCTAGGTCGACTCAGCCTACAAAATAAGTACCTGGTACGGTGTGTAATGATCACCACAGGGGAGACAAAGGCGGCCGGGCGTGTTTGGTGTTGGCCACCCACCTCTTTGTGTGCCGTGCTCGTTTACAGCACTTGCCTCAACAGTCTGTTTCGGCTGTACGGGGGATCTTTGTCTTTGCCTGTACGTTAGATGGAATTCTGCGTGGTCTTTTGCTTACATTACTTGCCCCAACAGTCTGCGTAGGCTACTCGGGGCAGTTTTATCTTTGTGTACAGTATATATGTATTATATGTATGTGTGTACACAGTATCATATATTGTAGGGAGCGGTGGCACAGTGGTTAGCTCGTGGCTCTATAACCCCGGCGACACGAGTTCGATTCCCCTCCCACAGTCAACAACGTTGACGAATATCTCAACCGGTCCTGTGCACTCCCATGGGTCGACTCGGCCTTAAACGAGTTCCTGGTGTGCGATGTGTCAACAACAACAACAACAAAAATCAATCCCACAAAGGCGGCCGGGCACGGTTCTCCTGCCCCACCACTCTCTCGCGCCACGTGGCTGACAAGCCGACACGTGGCTGACGAGCCGTCACGTGGCTGACGAACAGTCACGTGGCTGACGAGTCGTCACGTGGCTGACGAGCCGTCACGTGGCTGACGAGCCGTCACGTGGCTGACGAGTCGTCACGAGGCTGACGAGCCGTCACGTGGCTGACGAGTCGTCACGAGGCTGACGAGCCGTCACGTGGCTGACGAGTCGTCACGTGGCTGACGAGTCGTCACATGGCTGACGAGTCGTCACGTGGCTGACGAGCCGTCACGTGGCTGACGAGCCGTCACGTGGCTGACGAGTCGTCACGAGGCTGACGAGCCGTCACGTGGCTGACGAGTCGTCACGTGGCTGACGAGTCGTCACCTGGCTGACGAGTCGTCACGTGGCTGACGAGCCGTCACGTGGCTGACGAGCCGTCACGTGGCTGACGAGTCGTCACGAGGCTGACGAGCCGTCACGTGGCTGACGAGTCGTCACGAGGCTGACGAGCCGTCACGTGGCTGACGAGTCGTCACGAGGCTGACGAGCCGTCACGTGGCTGACGAGTCGTCACGTGGCTGACGAGCCGTCACGTGGCTGACGAGTCGTCACGTGGCTGACGAGCCGTCACGTGGCTGACGAGCCGTCACGTGGCTGACGAGCCGTCACGTGGCTGACGAGCCGTCACGTGGCTGACGAGTCGTCACGAGGCTGACGAGCCGTCACGTGGCTGACGAGTCGTCACGAGGCTGACGAGCCGTCACGTGGCTGACGAGTCGTCACGAGGCTGACGAGTCGTCACGTGGCTGACAAGTCGTCACGTGGCTGACGAGCCGTCACGTGGCTGACGAGTCGTCACGTGGCTGACGAGTCGTCACGTGGCTGACAAGTCGTCACGTGGCTGACGAGTCGTCACGAGGCTGACGAGCCGTCACGTGGCTGACGAGCCGTCACGAGGCTGACGAGTCGTCACGTGGCTGACGAGTCGTCACGTGGCTGACAAGTCGTCACGTGGCTGACGAGTCGTCACGAGGCTGACGAGTCGTCACGTGGCTGACAAGTCGTCACGTGGCTGACGAGCCGTCACGTGGCTGACGAGTCGTCACGAGGCTGACGAGCCGTCACGTGGCTGACGAGCCGTCACGAGGCTGACGAGTCGTCACGTGGCTGACGAGCCGTCACGTGGCTGACGAGCCGTCACGAGGCTGACGAGTCGTCACGTGGCTGACGAGTCGTCACGTGGCTGACGAGCCGTCACGTGGCTGACGAGTCCCCAACGCAGCAGCCCCCACGCGGCCTCTCCCCGCGTGGGGCTCCTCGCGGCGCTGCGGCGCAAACCCCCCCCCGCCCCCCCCCGACCCCCATCCCCCCGCCCCCCCGACCCCCCGACCCCCACCCCCCCGACCCCCACTCCCCGACCCCCACCTCCCTCCAATGTCCTTCAGCGCGTGGCCTCAAGGGCCTCGCTGAGGGAGGGGGTGGACGCGTTGGGGAGGGGGGGTTGGGGTCAAGGTGTTTGAGAATGGGGATCAAGGTGGAGGGTGGGGGCAGGGGGTGAACACTGGACACAGAACAGCTCCGTGTCCGTGATATTTATTGCATGAGACGCGCGTCAATGATACTGCAGCGAGGTCACCAGGGAGCTCGGTGTCAGCGTTGTGCTCAGACGGAGCGCGCCTCCAGAGTTGAGTGCTCGGCGAGCGAGACGACGATGTGGGGATGAGGGCGAGAAGCAGCCGCGAAGGGCCTCGAGGCCGTGCCGAGAGGCAAATCCACTCCTGGGGCACCCACCTGGCCCATTGCCGCACAACCCTGAGCTGATCATTACAATAATAACATAATTACTACGCTACTGGGGTGGAGGGGGAACACGTGGAATTGCCCGTTGTACCTGAGTCGTGTGTTGTGTCGGCCTTCGTACGAGATGCTCGCTAATGGCAGCTGCCCCAATAATCCCACAACCGATTAGCACGGTTGGCCAGGTACGGTTCTAACGAGGTTCAACGTACATAATACACACACATGCAAAGGCTACGCGGGGGAGATTTGTCTTTGTGTGTGTGTGATCATATGGCGAAAGCACCCATAATGCATCCGAGCTCGCAGATCTAGGAAGCTAAGCCGGCTTGAGCCTGGATTCCCCTCGGATGGGCGGCCTTCGTGCATGCCGGGTTGCTGTGGGTAGCAAGAGGCAGTGCAAAATACATTGTTTCGCCTCGATGTTTCCTTAATCAACCGCAGAGAGACCACCGTGGTGAAGTATGGTTAAAATATTATCCCACGAGCCGCCCGGCGTGTCCAGACCTTTGTCCAGCAGTGGGTAGAGCAAGGCTGATGGTGGTGGTGGAGAAATGGCAGTGCGGATTGAGCAACATCTACGGCGAGTGCTCACGGGAAGAGAGGAAGACGGGGAGAGAAAAACAGGGGAGAGGGAGGTGAGGAGGGAGAGAGGTGAGGAGGGAGGTGAGGATGAAGGAGGTGAGGAGGGAGAGAGGGAGGTGAGGAGGGAGATAGGTGAGGAGGGAGGTGAGGAGGGAGAGAGGTGAGGAGGGAGATAGGTGAGGTGAGGAGGGAGATAGGTGAGGTGAGGAGGGAGGTGAGGAGGGAGAGAGGGAGGTGAGGAGGGAGAGAGGTGAGGTGAGGACGGAGAGGGAAGTGAGGAGGGAGTGAGGGAGGTGAGCAGGGCGAGTAGTGAGGGAGGTAAGAGAGTTAGTGAAAGGGATTGAGAGAAATAGGTGAGGAGAGAGAGGGGGGGTTGAGTATGGAAATAGTGAGTGATGTAGAGAGGGAGGGACTTGAGGAGGAGGAGGGTGGAGCGGGCCTGGCTATCTGCTGGGAGCAGGCGAGATGCATCATTAGCCGCTCGCAATGGCCTCCACAGAGGGACGCCGCCGCCTTCCCATTCAGCCGCTCACCCGCGCGACCTGCCCATTGTGCGACCTCGCGTGGCGCGGTCATTAATTGATTGATTGATCATCAATTCGATCATTCGCCTCGCGGACGAGGCCAGGGCGCCTCGCGTGCCACGGAGGGTGTTCACGGCGCTCGAGGGGCTGTTCCGAGGAGGTGGCTCTCGACCCGTGCTTGCTCAGCGCCGTCGTTGTGCTGTGGAGTTGTCGCGTCGAACTTGGACCCTGGTCTCACGGAGAGGAAGGGGAGGTCCTTGCCTCGAAACGTCGGGGCAGTTCAACAGCACCGGTGCGAGCGAACCCGACTGCCGATTGACTCGTTATCCCATGCGTCGCGTGCAACTCGTTATCCCATGCGTTGCGTGCAACTCGTTATGCCGTGCGTCTCCCGTGTTGTTAGATCCGGCCCGTGGCTCACAGCAGAATCGTGGCCTCAGCCAAGTGGAGCAAACCTCAGCAGGAGCCCGTCACCATATTGTGAGTGGTCAGCTCGGACTCAATCGGTCAGCGGGGTCAGTGCGCTCGGCCCTTTTGGACCTCGCCAAACGACGCCTTCCATCCCACACATCGCAGCTGTCACATGAATCACACCTGGCCACGAAGAACCAACTCTCACGGTCTCACCACCACCACAATCACCATCAATACCACGACAACCAACTCTCACCACCACCACAATCACCATCAATACCACGACAACCAACACAATAACCTACACCGTCAAAACCACCACAAACACCACCACAACCTCCACCATCACCACCACAGCCACCACCACAACCTCTACCATCACCACCACAACCAACACCACAACCTCCATCATCACCACCACAAGCTCCACCACAGCCTCCACCGTCAATACCACCACCACAACCGCCACCATCGATACCACCACAACCACCACCACAATCTCCACCATCACCACCACAACCTCCACCATCACCACCATATGCGTTCGTGTGTATGTGCGTGTTGCAGCGTAGGGAGCGGTGGTACAGTGATTAGCGCTCTGTGCGCTACGAACCCAGCGACCTGAGTTCGATTTCCACTCACTCACGGCCAATAATCGTGACGATTATCTGAATTGGTTCCTGGGCCTGGTGCGGTGTGTAGTAAACATCGCCACTAGGGAGACAAAGGCGGCCGGGCATCGTTCTGGCCACCCACCCCCTCGTGTTCCGTGCCGGCCCGACACAGGCGCTGCTACTCGTGAACAGCTCTTGCCCCTTTGTCGCAGCGTGTACGCGAACGGGGACGCGCTGAGCGCCGCTGTGCGTCTGCTGGTGCCCGCGCGCGCCCTCTCCGACTGGCAGCACGTGCTCGCCATCGTGACAGAGAAGGTGCATCTGCGGACAGGCGCCGTGCGAAGGTGCCAACCACACGTCCCTCCCATCGTCGCTCCAGTCGCTCACAGCGGGACTCGCCGCCAAGCGCTCTCATCAATCACTCACTCCTCCAGCTGTGCCCCTTTAATCGCTCACCAAATCACACCTCGTCACTCACCAATCACTCACTAATCACTCACCAATGCCCCATATCTCCCATCACCTCCACTATCCCTACACAGATACACGCATGAGCACACATCCTTAACAAGTGCTGTTAGCGAACACTTATGAAGGTCGAGGGGGTGGGTGAGCAGCACCATGCCCGGCCACCTTTGTCTCCCGAGTGGCAATATTTACACACGTCAAAAGGGTCTAATTTTAGGCTGAGTCGACCTAGGGGAAGCCCAGAGGCCCAGATAATCGTCACTGGGAATCCAAATCCTGTCGCCGGGTTTGTAGCACAGCGCTCTGGCCACTACACTACCGCTCCCCACCATAGACGTGGAACATGCACACAGCACCTCCGATTAGCACGGTCGGCCACGTACGGTGTGAAAGAAGACACAGAGAGACACACAAAGACAACCCCCCCTTCTAAACTTAACAGACTTTTGGGGCGAGTGCTGTTAGCCAGCACATATGAAGGCCGTAACGGCACACGAGGGGGTAGGTGGCCAGCACTACACCCGGCCGCATTAATCTCCCTAGTGGTGACGTTAACACACCGCACCAGGTACACACACAGACACACGCACACACCGAGCACCGGCGTTGCGCTCACGTGACCCGCCTGTGGCGCAGGCTGTACTCCCCGTCGGGCCAGCTCGTGTGGGACGGCTCCGAGCTGGAGAACGGCCACTCCTACGTGGCCACGGGCACCGAGAAACTCAAGCGGCTCCCCTACGGCGCCGGGGGCCTCGCCAAGGCCTCCCCGCGCCACAGCAACAGGTGCCGCCGCAGGGGATCCACTTGGGGGGGGGGGGGTCCCGGTGGTCCGCGGGGTCCCCGTGGGTTTCCAAGGACCGCCCCCCCACCCTCCGCGTTCGAATGCGGACGACTCGGAACGGACCCACGGATTCGTGGCGAGATGTTAACAACCTCGCCTAATACACGGGAGGTCGTAGGTTCGAACCCGACTCTGGCACCTGCTGTATATTTTGGAGTTTGTGTGTCTCTCTCCCAGTGGTCGCGTGAATTGTTCTCCGGGTCCTCCGGTTTTTCCCTCCACGTTTATAATAAACATGCATTGAGATTATTTAGCTGCAGTAATATTCCACGTGATGAACCACACTTCATTGAGCTATTATTTGTGATATCCAGGTCGCTCCTGCAAAAGAGCTATATATCTCAGTGGGCCTTACCTGATGAAATAAAAATTGTTTATTTTTTTGTTTATATAGCATAGCCAAGTTTTATTAATTGGTTAAAATATAAAGGCGCAGCCTTGAAATGTCCTCGCTCACGTCACTGCTGGGGTATGAGGCCTCGACTGGACGAAGCTAAAGTCACCTTCCGTCGGTCCGCTCTTACACGCTGGCCAGCCGTCTCGAAGTCCCCACACTTTACCTCACCACGACTTTCACGTGACCTGCGGATCGTGGACTGACTGTGGTGAGTCCATTCGCTGTGGTGAGCCCATTCATACGGCTGCTTCTGCGGCTGTTGCTTCTGTGTGCACGGAGGCAGTGGGCGGAGTTGAAGAGACGTTCTCAATGTTGAAACTGCCGCGCAGGGAGATTGAATCGCAAGCGAGGACCGCTGTGATCCCAGCCGAGTAGTGTGTAGCTACGCCGGTACACGCGATGGCCTACGCGTTCGAATGACGTCACGGGATCTTTAACGTCCGCTGAGAAGCGGTAGTCGGTACGTAGCACGGGCATGGTTTGTTAATCCGCAGTATTGACCAGGACGGGCTGGTTGATTCGAACTGCGAACGTCACGATCTGACCCCCTTCCTACCCCCCACCCCCCGTTCCCGTGACGCTTCGTGTCGCCCCGTGATCATCAGCAGTTCCAAGGGCGTCGTTCTGCCGCCGCTGGTGATGCCGAGGAGGAGTCGCGACTCGGTGAGATCACCACCCCTCTATCTCCACTTCTCCGTATTTGTTATTTTATTTAACAAACTAACAGCCCGCACCTCCTAAGTATGCATGTATAACCTCTTTCGCACCATACGTAGGCAACCGTGCTAATCGGAGGTGACTGTCCGTTCCTCCCCGTCCCCTCCTTCAGCCAGCCAGCAAAACGTTGTGTAATTGTTGTTGTTGATATCTGGTGATGCTCCCGCTGCGTTGGCAATGGTGCACACACAACAGTTAGCAACGAACTCGCCACGCGCCGCGTGAGTAGCAACTCTCTGTGAGTGTCCTTCAACAAAGACGGCAGCGCGGGATCTTTGTCGACCTCGTGCGCCTTCTGTTCCAGAGCCACAACAGCAAATCCCCGAGCATCAACACCCTCGCCAGCTCCTTTCCACAGGTAAGGTGCTGATCTTCCTTCGCACCGTGCGTAGCCAACCGTGCTAATCGGAGGTGCGCTAAGGGGCTTGTGCCAGGCTACGTGCACATTGTGGCCATCGCATGAAATGTGGAATGCTCGCTGCTGACAGGAGATCACGGGATAGACTGACTGAGATGACTGGTAGATGCACCACCTGTGCTCCCTATTGTGCCAACTCGCTGCGTTTTAGCCGCCCGACGCTCGTCGCGTTGTTGTGAGCGTGGCTCCTCTGCCCTCCGTTGTTGCTGGAAGGCGACCGACTCAAACTTCCCAGTGGCAGCGTCCTTCACGAGCCTCCTCCTCCTCCACAGAGGCCGCAAAACGAGGGCGGTGATGTTTAAGGTGGCCCGTGCATAAGTTGTGATGACGCTGCGTGTGATACCTTGGCTTGATATCATCTCCTGGTTAAATCAAGGGCTCAAACAAATGAAGCCAATGTGGTGTTGTTTATGATGCGCTATGAAGAAGGTCCATTGCCTGAAACGTCGTCTCTTATATGTGTATTAATTATAATAAGGCCACGCCTTGTGATTGGCAAGTGTATTGAGTTCTTGTATTCATTGTGGTATCGTCAAGTCATGGTCATCCCCCCCACCCCCACCTTTCCCTCAACCCCGTTTCCCCCTCCCCCATGTCTCCTTCCCCCCTCCCCCACGTGTCTCACTCCCACGTGTCTCCCTCCCCCGTGTCCCTTCCCCCCACCCGTGTCTCACTCCCCCGTCTCTTCCTCCTCCCCGTGTGTCCCTTCCCCCGTGTCTCCCTCCCCCGCGTCTCCCTCCTCCCCGTGTCTCCTCCCCACCCGTGTCTCTTCCTCCCCCCCCACCCCTCCGGACCCCTCCGGCCGCCCTGTCTCAGCTGGGAGACGGCTCCCTCCTCTCGGAGCGCAACGGGGGGGTGCCCCTTCCGTCGGCGCGACGCCGCCAGCAGCTGTCCCCGCGCGACTCGCGCGCCGCGCGCGACCTCCACTCGCAGCACCACCCCTACCAGCAGCAGCTGCAGCAGCACCACCCCTACCAGCAGCAGCTGCAGCAGCAGCAGCAGCCCGAACACCGCGGCGGGCAACGCAAGCCCGGCTACCACCACCACCTCCAGCAGCACCACCAACAGCACCATCAGCAGCACCACCAGTACGGAGACCCCGTTCCACCAGCTCAGCCGCGGGCCGCTGGCAAGACCGGTCTTCGGAGGGCCCCTCCGAAGAATGGGCCCAGAGGTCACGGGCTGGACGCGGAGGAACTTGGCAAGTGATTATCTCAGCGAATCAGAAAATATTTATTTAGACTGCAGGAATCCGATGAGCTATAAAGCAATTTTTTCACAGATGTCCCGTGGGTCAGTTTGATGTCACAAACGGAACTTCCCCGTCGTCTCTGTTCGCCTAGAGATGTTGGCAGATGGACCGGGGGGGGTATCTTATTTAGTTATGTGTACAACCATGGTCGCTGAGCACCGCGCCCAATTGCAATAAACAACACTATTATCAAAGTGGTGATAGATAAGAAAGTGTTAGACGCGTCTTGAATTGAGTGAGGTTATTGTTGTTGTAAGGGAATAGGGGGGGTGAAGACGATGACAATGGTGGGAGGAGGGAATCCCATAGTGGAGCAGTGTGAGGGAAGAAGCAGAAAGAGAAGTGAGGTGACCTGCGGTGTAGTGAGTGGGTGGGTGAGAGGGTGAATGAGAGAGTTGGTTGTGACCTGCAGTGTGGTGAGTGGGTGGGTGGGTGAGAGGGTGAATGAGTGAGTTGATTGTGACCTGCAGTGTGGTGAGTGGGTGGGTGAGTGGGTGGGTGGGTGAGAGGGTGAATGAGTGAGTTGGTTGTGACCTGCAGTGTGTGGTGGTTGTAGTTGTATGTATATTGTATGTATGTTGTATGTATATACTACGTTTTCAAGAAATTAGTTTTCAGTCTAGATGATGATGTAAAAGTGCATAGCTCCAGTGGCTTCCGAATATCTAAAGGAAGAGCGTTCCAGACGGCCGCAGCAGCGCATCTGAAAGCGTCCGATCTAGTGACCGACTTTGTTCGATGCGAGGATGACCGGAGTTCACGTGATGATGGTTCATGCTCCTTGACGAGATCAGCTCGGTGTTTTTGTGCATTTGTGGCAATCACTTTGTGTGTAATGTCCTTACAATGTGTGGACGAGACGGTCACAGTGCCTGGCAGACCGACGAGTCGTCAACGTGAGTGGAGGAATTAATGAATGACGTGAACGTGGAACAGTAACCAGGGTAGTAAGAGTAGTCGTAGTGATAGAGGAGTGACGTGAACGTGGAACAGTAACTATGATAGTGAGAGTAGTCGTAGTGATAGAGTGACGTGAACGTGGAACAGTAACTATGGTAGTGGGAGTAGTCGTAGTGATAGAGGAGTGACGTGAACGTGGAACAGTAACTATGATAGTGAGAGTAGTCGTAGTGATAGAGTGACGTGAACGTGGAACAGTAACTATGGTAGTGGGAGTAGTCGTAGTGATAGAGGAGTGACGTGAACGTGGAACAGTAACTATGGTAGTGAGAGTAGTCGTAGTGATACAGGAGTGACGTGAACGTGGAACAGTAACTATGGTAGTGGGAGTAGTCGTAGTGATAGAGTGACGTGAACGTGGAACAGTAACTATGGTAGTGGGAGTAGTCGTAGTGATAGAGTGACGTGAACGTGGAACAGTAACCATGGTAGTGAGAGTAGTCGTAGTGATAGAGTGACGTGAACGTGGAACAGTAACCATGGTGGGTGTTTGTGTGACCCCAATTATCCCGCCGTGCCGTCCACCCCACGCAGACGCCTCGGACCTCCGGGACGAGTTCGCCACCCAGGCGAAGGATCGCTCGCGGGGCCGGGATCGGGGAGGCCGCGAGCGGAACAAGGAGCGAGACAGGGGGAGGGGCGCGAGGGGGGGCCGCAGGAACGGAGCCCACGACGCGAGAGGGGGGCGTCGGGAGGACGAGGAGGACGAGGAGGAGGAGGGTGGCGGGGAGCTCGAGGGGGGGCTGGAGGGGGGGCTGGGAGCGGAGAGCGAAGATTTCCCCGAGGAGGTGGGCGAGGACGAGGCGGGGACCCGCGTGGGACTTCTCGCCGTCGACCAGGTGAGCGGGACACGTGACGGGGGCGGGTAAAGCGAGGAGACGCAGGCTGCAGGGCTCGTGGCGGTGTGGTGACGATGGTAGTGACGATGGTAGCTCGTGGCGGGGTAGTGATGATGGTAGCTCGTGGTGGGGTAGTGATGATGGTAGCTCGTGGCGGGGTGGTGATGATGGTAGCTCGTGGTGGGGTAGTGACGATGGTAGCTCGTGGTGGGGTGGTGACGATGGTAGCTCGTGGTGGGGTAGTGACGATGGTAGCTCGTGGTGGGGTGGTGACGATGGTAGCTCGTGGTGGGGTAGTGACGATGGTAGCTCGTGGTGGGGTAGTGATGATGGTAGCTCGTGGCGGGGTGGTGATGATGGTAGCTCGTGGCGGGGTAGTGACGATGGTAGTGACAATGGTAGCTCGTGGTGGGGTAGTGATGATGGTAGCTCGTGGCGGGGTGGTGACGATGGTAGTGATGATGGTAGCTCGTAGCGGGGTGGTGACGATGGTAGCTCGTGGCGGGGTGGTGACGATGGTAGCTCGTGGTGGGGTGGTGACGATGGTAACTCGTGGCAGGGAGGTGACGATGGTAGCTCGTGGCAGGGTAGTGACGATGGTAGCTCGTGGTGGGGTAGTGATGATGGTAGCTCGTGGCGGGGTGGTGACGATGGTAGCTCGTGGCGGGGTGGTGACGATGGTAGCTCGTGGTGGGGTGGTGACGATGGTAGCTCGTGGCGGGGTGGTGACGATGGTAGCTCGTGGTGGGGTGGTGACGATGGTAGCCTGTGGCAGGGTTGTGACGATGGTAGCTCGTGGTGGGGTGGTGACGATGGTAGCTCGTGGCAGGGAGGTGACGATGGTAGCTCGTGGCAGGGTAGTGACGATGGTAGCTCGTGGTGGGGTAGAGATGATGGTAGCTCGTGGCGGGGTGGTGACGATAGTAGTGACGATGGTAGCTCGTGGCGGGGTGGTGACGATGGTAGCTCGTGGTGGGGTGGTGACGATGGTAGCTCGTGGCGGAGTGGTGACGATGGTAGTGACGATGGTAGCTCGTGGCAGGGTGGTGACGATGGTAGCTCGTGGCGGGGTAGTGACGATGGTAGCTCGTGGCGGGGTGGTGACGATGGTAGCTCGTTGCAGGGTAGTGACGATGGTAGCTCGTTGTGGGGTGGTGACGATGGTAGCTCGTGGCAGGGTAGTGACGATGGTAGCTCGTGGCAGGGTGGTGACGATGGTAGCTCGTGGTGGGGTGGTGACGATGGTAGCTCGTGGCAGGGTAGTGACGATGGTAGCCTGTGGCAGGGTGGTGACGATGGTAGCTCGTGGTGGTGTGGTGATGATGGTAGCTCGTGGTGGGGTAGTGACGATGGTAGCTCGTGGTGGGGTAGTGACGATGGTAGCTCGTGGGGGGTGGTGACAAGGGTAGCTCGTGGCAGGGTGGTGACGATGGTAGCTCGTGGGGGGTGGTGACGATGGTAGCTCGTGGCAGGGTAGTGACGATGGTAGCTCGTGGCAGGGTAGTGACGATGGTAGCTCGTGGGGGGTGGTGACAAGGGTAGCTCGTGGCAGGGTGGTGACGATGGTAGCTCGTGGCAGGGTGGTGACGATGGCAGCACTCGCAGCTCTGTGGCGATCCACTGCTGCTGCTGACCTGAAGGCTCTCCCAAGCCGTGTTGGTCATCGGGGAGGTGGGGGGGGGGGCATTTGACCATACTTCACCATGCTAGCCTCGTACAGATTGGTGCAGAGAGGTGCGGTAAGGAGGGTCGTGGAAGATGAGGGGTGTGTGGGGGAGAGTACGAGGGGAGGGGGAAGTCAGCAGGAATCCCGTCTACTCCTCGGGCTTTACGGGATTCCAGTGTTTGGATCGCTTGCTTGAGGTCATCAAGTCCAGGCTCACTATCAAGGTCATGCGGCATCTCACGCTGGGGCCGTTATCTCGTGCTCGATCTGAGACTGTACCAAGCTGATTCAGTAACACCTGCAAAGTAGTGTCATCTCTCCACCTCTCAAGGAGTTCCCCACTCTAAGTCATCAGGCATTCGCCATCTCCACTTTCAAGAGGGGTCTCTGTACGAGTATCTGGGACATAGCCTTCCTCAAGTGCATGATAACATTGTTTAAATATCGGCGTGGACCTGGGTAATTCTGTATTCGTGCTGCTTTCTTGTGCCACCGTTTATTTTCAAATCTTCTTTAAGACTTTTTTTCTCTTCTGGATGGTGGAGCGTATTGTTTGATGCGCCAATTTCCAACTATCGATCTGATGGCCCTGCCCTAGGGTGTTGTGAGCTGAAGATCTTGCGCCCAGGAGCTCGTTGATCAGCGAGTTGTCCTCATCAAACCAAGTCCTCGTGTCTTGTACTTCAAACGCCGAGGCAATTGATGAGACATTGCAGACAGCGTCCTTGAAAGTATTCCAACGTTATCCTAAGGTCTTTGCTTTCGCGATCTCGGTTTCTTAAAGATTGCTCAAGATTCTGTTGGGGAGTGAGAGTCGGACCTTTGGAACCTTCAGCTTGCTTACGTTGAGTTTCTTCGGCAGACGTGGCACAACCTTACACTTCGGCGTGTTGATGTGAAAGTCGATCTTTGACCTTACGAGACAATGGTCAGTGTCACCGATCGCTCTCTCGCCACTCGCGTTGATGTACATGTCTTTGAAATCACTTTGTCGTGTAAGCTTCGTCTTTCGTATCGCTGATGTCGATGGCTAATGTCGATGGCTGATGTCGATGCAGAGCCACAACTGCAATGTCACATTCAGGCGGCCAAGCCGGATAGCCGCGTGAGGAGCAGCGGAGTTGGTGCATCCCGGCTGTGCTGTCTCCTTCGTACTCGCGGAGCGGGGCATCGCGTCGTTACGTGTTGCACGGTCTGCTCTGGGTGGTCACAGTCGCACATTGCGGATATTCTAATTCTCCACGTGTGCATCATCAGCTATCCGCGTCTACTGCCATGGTTTGTGCAGTGGATGCGATTTAGCGTGGGCCGTGAGCTTCGTGGAAGATCAAACCCAGGGATCTTCTGTCGTGTAATTTCATCATCTATCGAGTGCCAATGTGTTGACCTCGGGTGCATCCAGGTAGTTTTGCGATGGTTAGGAAGCCGATGGAAAGTTTGAGAGATTGAGAGACCATGCACTGAGCACAGCCCCAGGAGGAGATGGCCACATTAAACTTGGCATCACACTGCGCCTGCAGATGGCACCAGGTCAG